GAGATTCTCGACTAGGTCGACCTTTCAAACTGTTGGTGAATCTGTGGGTAGGCAAGAGACAACCTTCCTTGAATTTTAAATTCTTTTATTTGGATGTGGTCTCGGTTTATTTATGTATCATTAAAACCCATGTTTTTTTCATTAAAAATCCCTAATTATTATTTATTTAAACTTAATGAATCTTGCATTGATTTTAAATATTAAGATATTGCTAAATATGATTGGGTACGAGAAGATCCTACCAATATTAGAGATTTTTTTTAATAATATTATATATTTAAAAAAAAATAATTCCAAAAAAAGAAAGAGAGTAAAATTACCAATTTAGCCCAAGAGTCGAGTTAATCATAAGACTTGGTTTTAATTAATTCTATAATTTCAAAATTTTCAATATCATTAAATCATTTTTTGCCAATTTGTCCGAAAATTCTCTAATTTCTTAATAAATTGAAAATGGCTAAATTGGAGAAAAAAAAAACCCTATCTTTCAAATTTATTTTTAATTTTTTTGTAATTTTGAAAATGGCTAAATTTCATAAAAAAGAGAAATAATTAAAAAAAAAAAAAACTTGAATTTTTTTTTTTTAAGAAAATACTTTTATTCTTTAAAATATTTATATCTCGAGCTTTTGAAATGAAAATTCATTAAACGTTTAGACTCGTCTTAACAACCTAAAATAATGTACAGACGACTATGCATACTATCAAATTAAAGCCAAAATAACAATATTTATGCAAGTAAACTTTTCGTCCAACATTCTAATGGTTTTTTTTTTTTTTTATTTCAAATTTAGTTTTAAAATATTTATGAAAAGTCAAATTATGGGTACCTGAGCTTCGGTAGGTAGATGTTTTTCACGGCATCTGTCTTTTAAGTCATTAATTTCGTATCTAGAAGTGGTTCGTTCACATATTTTTCAAGAACTTCATTTTGCTCAATTTCTCGTGGAGTCGGAGTCTGATCAATACAAGTCTAAGGAAATGGCCCCAAAATAACTTAGACTAGACCTCTTCTGCTGCCTCGAGAGGAAATCTCAATTTTAATTCTTAATTACTCGTTGTTACGTTGTTACCAATGACTAGCAAATCTAGAAATCGATCACTAATCCAATTTGAGGACGTCTATAGGACAAACCTTAATAGAAAATCGAGTAAAAAATATTACAAATTTAAAAAAAAAAAAAAGATTTTTTGAATAATGGGCAAAATTGGAAGGTGTTTTATTTATTTATTTAATATAATCGAGCATGAAATTTTAAAATCATAAAAGAGTAAATTAGTAATTTAAATGTTAACCCATAAATAATATTTATATTATATTAACAAAGCACCTGATTGGTTGGATTGTTTTCTCCACGTCAGGGATTTTATGGTAAATTACTATTTTAAATAAAATTATATTTTATTTAGTGGGGGGTTGTACGTCGCCTAATACCTGACAAAATTTGCCAGGCTATAATCACTTCCCCACTCTCTAATTTAATATTTATTTAATTTTTTAATCATTTTTTTAAATTATTTATTTTTCTCCTTTTTCCCTCACATGACAATACAATTTTTAATTAATTAATACAATAATCATTTTTTCTTCTTAGACTTTTTGTTTATTAACCAATCAAAATCCTCCATTTAACTATCATTTAATTAATTAATACAATAATTATTAATTATGTCTTATAATCAAATTTGCATTACATAACACTTAAGAAAAACGTGTTTTCCATTTTTTTTTAATTATATTGAATTTTTAAATAGAATATCTTTTTAATTATATGTTAAAAATAATCAAAATTCTCCATTTTTAAAAATTAAAATATTATATTTATAATTTCTTCCGTCCCTCGGGACCATAAAAGTATATATAGTACATGATTATTCACTGATTGTCTATCGATTACGTCTTTCGATCTGATTTTAAGCTCTAACTCATCCTCCATAGACGAGCCTTGGAGAGGAACCCTTAAATTCTTGAGACATTGGATTCTCACTAATATTCGTGTTACTTAGATCGACATTCTCATTTCCAATTCGTCCACTATTGCTCGAGTGAGTGTTTCTCTCTAAAGGGGAATGCTCTCCTACCGATGCATTTTTAGATCCAACAACTTTGACTAATAGCTTAGCTCCAGTCTCGTTTATCTAATCATAAGACAAATAAAAAATTAATATATATATATATATATATATATAAGAGGTGGGTGGAGCGGAACGGAGTGAGAAATTAGACGAAAATGGACAATACAATCTCGTCCTCAGTCTCGTTTATCTAACTAGAAGAAATTTTTTGCCACTCCCGCCCTTATTTTCTGTTTGAATGGGAATTCTTTACTTTGTTCGCGACGGGTTCCTATAAAATCTCAGCCCCACGAATAAATAGATATCTCTAAATTAATCACGAAATTCATTTAAAATGGTATGGGTCCACCAATGTCATAAACCATTTATAAATTAAATATTTATATATATATATAATGAAGACAAAAGGGAGCAATAATAAAAAAATACCCCATTCATATCCCACCACCTCCTCCCTTTCTTTTCAATTATTTAATCTCTTGTAGTTGGTAATTTCACAACCAATAAAAGAGTGACAAAATTATTATTATTTAATTCAATAGGTAAAATATTATTTATCACTTTAATAGTTAATAATAATGGTTGACCTAAAAAATAATTAAAATATAAAATTATATTATGAGACAATTTAACTATAAAATTTTTACGATTAAACCACTGAAAATGAAAATATATCTGGTTGGTAATTCTTTTAATTTTTTTTTTGTAGTCATATTATTCATAGACTAATGTTGGTTCATTCATGCACTCCTCTTATATTTGGGTGTCACATGATCTCCGACCTCTTAATTAATAATTATTTATGTAAAATAATAATTAATTATAATTACAAATCATAATGTTAATTATTTAGGGTACTAAAAATTAAAATGTGGAGCGGTTTGAGGGAAATAATTGCCGTCAATATTTGACTAACGGAGTTCCTAAGGCATTTCATTAGGTAGGTTCGGTTTTAATGGATTTTGGCCACGTTTGTGCCGTATACTGCCAAACGAGACTATGGACTCCAAACCAAAACCCTAAACATTTATGGATAAAAGGCTAAATTATAAAATAAATAAAAAATATTTGCTAAATTTGTCCGAGTAGAATTGGGTAGTAAAGTCTATTTGAATTGTTCGGGTTACTGTGTGAGATCTCATATCAGTCGAAACTTTTCTTAAAAGAAGTAAGAAATCTCTCCATACGAGACGCATTTTAAAAATTGTGGATAGCAATAAGTAATAGGCCAAAACAGACAATATCTTCTAGCTGTGAGTTTATGCTATTACACACGACTAAACCAACCCGATACTATTAAAAAATTTCTCAAAAAGAAAATCTAGAAGCACCACATGAATATGAAGGGCATGTCTAGCGTGTGGTTAGGTGCAGCGTAGCATTCCTCTAAGCAACGCATAGTAACCGACTCAACCAGCCCGAGACTATTAGAAAATTTCTCAAAAAGAAAATGTAGAAGAATCGACTGATTTGGATAAGTTGAGAAAACCGAGTGATGCAACCAATAAAGTGAGACTATTACTGTACGCCGTATTGCACTAAATCATTATCGTCATCATCATGTAAAAGTAAATACTCCCACTTTAATCACTTATAACTCTCAAATTTTCTTTTTCTTTTTCTATTTTAAAATAATATTTCAAACACAATTTGAAAGCTTTATTCATAGATTTTGTCCGATTCATATTTTTAAAATCATCATTTTAGTTAAAAATATGATATGATTAATGATTTTGTTCCATTTCTTTTTAATTATGGTCATTTATTAAGATGTTAAAAAAAGTGATTAAATAAAGTTAGTATATTGTTAATTAAGATAATCAAATTAATAATGTATAATTTAATTAATACATGAAATGTTCTGATGATCGCCCAGCTGATAATGAATCAAATTATTGATATATTATTAAATTAATAAACATAATTAATAATTTAAGACTTAATTTGAAATAGATGAGGGATTCTAAAATAATTTAGTAAATATTGTGTTTTTATGTTTGACTTAATGTATTTAATATAAATTATGACACTTTTTTTTTTTAAATATAAGTTATTTGATAAAATTTTAGAGTAATAAATAAAATAAGATAATGTTTAATTATGATATTTGATAAATTAATATTAAAATATTAAAATTTAGTTGAATTTTTAATTTCGATTAAGTTCGTATTTAATTTATAATTTATTATATGATAATTGTTTAAAAAAATGATATGATTCAAATGGTAAGTATTTTTTTTTAACTAAATGTTATAGGTAGATACTAAAGTCCATGTGATATTATTTTAGAGCAATAAATATTTGATTAAATTAATAAAAATACTCTTAAATTTTTAAAATTAGTAATGGAGTATTTTAAAGCTTATAATTTATTATTTTTTAAAAAATTATGAGTGCAAAGTATTTTAAAGATTTTTTTTTTAAATTTAAAAATTTTATTGAAACAAAGATTTAAAAATAAATTATAAAATTTGGAGTATTTTTTTTATTAATTTAGTCTAAACAATTTAATGGAAATTAATAAATAATTTATTTTAACTAAATACATTCACAAATAATACAGTGGGTCGTTGGACCCACGTGGACTGTAGTTGTCCAGCACATAACGCTCATGTAAAAACGGCCGTATCGTATCACACCCTTATCAAGTTATCAGTGGCAAACTCCGTAATTTACCGGAAAACCAGTGTCATTTTTCTGACACTTCATTTAAAAAACTTTTGCAGTGATATGGTCATACATTACAGATGAAGATAGAGAGAGAAAAATTAAAAACAAAAATAAATAAATAAATAGTTTTTTTTCTCACTGGACAAGAGCCAGTGTGGGGCCTCTCTCTCTTCGAAACAAGAGATAAGGACACATGCATGTTCACCCATGGTAAACTTCCTCCGGTTAAAAACTAACCATGGTTAGCTTTCTCAAGCTCTTCCTCTGTTGCATCACCACCCAGTTCGTTTTTGAGTGGGAGAGACGACGCTGTTCTTCTTCTATGTTCTTCTCTCTCTCTCTCTCTCTTTCATCTTCATCATTAGAATCGAATCCTGAGTTTTATTTCTGTACATATTTGTTTCTGTTCTTCTTCCACGGATCTAAATCGTTTTGATTTTGGAGCTTGGTTTGTTTTCTTCTAATCATCATCGTCTTCATTTTAATCTGCGGGATTCAATCGCCTTGTTCTTATCCTTCACCTCCATTTCGAAATCTGCGGCGATTTTTAGTTCGTTTTCTGGTTTTGTTATTTGGATATTTGACTTTCTTTGCCTCAATCTCTCTCTCTCTCTCTCTGCAATTTCAGATCTAGGTTTTTTGAACTGGTTGAGATGCAAGAGTCGTGGTTTTTTGAACTTGGATCGGTTGAATTCGCCGCGGATTTCGTATTTCATTAGAGAATCCGTTGGAGATCTGCTTGAATTCCTGCGAGTTTGTTTAGTTTCTTTCTTTATTCAGGGCTTTACGAACTTCTTTTTTTCCTGGGATGTAATAGTGCTGGATAAAGGGAGTTTTTATTTTCTCGTTTTCTTTTCAGAGGTTACACCTTTTTTTTTAATTATTTTTTTAAAGTTCGTTCTTCTTAATTCTCTTTTTCCTTTCCCTGGGGAAAGTTGCGTGCATTTTTAATTTTAATTTTAATTGTTTTTCCTGGAAAGTTTTTGGGGGAATTTTCTGTTTGGACGCTGAGAAACGATGAATTATTTTCCCGACGAGGTTTTGGAACATGTTTTCGACTACGTTACGTCTCACCAGGACCGGAACGCGGTTTCGCTGGTCTGCAAATTGTGGTATAGAGTAGAGAGATTTAGCAGAGCGAAAGTTTTCGTCGGTAATTGCTATGCGATCACGCCGGAGAGGGTAATCGCACGATTTCCCGGCGTTAAATCCCTAACTATAAAGGGGAAGCCCCATTTTGCCGATTTCAATTTGGTTCCTCATGATTGGGGTGGCGATGTTCACCCTTGGGTCCAAGCCTTCGCTAAGCGCCGGATTGCCTTAGAGGAGCTCCGTTTGAAACGGATGGTCGTCACTGACGACAGTCTCGAGCTTCTTTCTCGATCCTTCCCTAATTTCAAGGCACTGTTGCTCTTCAGCTGTGAGGGATTCACGACCAATGGCCTTGCTGCCATTGCTTCCAATTGCAGGTATCAAACAAATCCCCCCCGAACTTTGTTTATGAAGCTATGATTAGAAAGATTACGTTCTTGCTTGTTCTTGTTTGTTCTTGTTGTTGCTCTATATTGGTTTTTGAAACTCTTGCTCTTTCTGTTGTGTTGTTATCATTGACTTATAGGTTGTTCTTAGGCGTTTTGTTTAGCTGCTATGAAGATTGATTGTTGTAATTGAGATCTGTTGGATTTTCTGGTGATGATTGTATGGTTTCGTGAGTGTTTTGTTTTGTGTTCGTCGTTTTTTGTTCGGTTTAGATTTCTGAGGGAGCTCGACCTGCAAGAGAATGAAATCGATGACCACAGTAATTACTGGCTTAGCTGCTTTCCGGAGAACTGCACATCACTTATCTCCCTGAATTTTGCTTGCCTCAGAGGAGAAGTAAATCTTGGAGCTCTTGAGAGGCTTGTGGCGAGATCTCCTAACCTCATTAGTTTGAGGCTGAACCGTGCGGTGCCTCTCGAAACCTTGCAAAATTTATTGTTACGTGCTCCTCAACTTATAGACTTGGGCACGGGGTCATTCATTCATGATCGAGATTCCGAGATATATGACAGTCTCAAGGATACCATTTTGAAATGCCAATCGCTCAGGAGTTTGTCTGGTTTTTTAGATGTTTCTCCTCGCTGCCTGACCTGCATTTACCCCATCTGCTCGAATTTGACATCGTTGAACCTTAGCTATGCGCCCGGGCTTCAGAGCTGTGAGCTTATAAAGGTCATTCAGTATTGCGAGAACCTTCAACGCTTGTGGGTACGATCTTCCGACCTTACCGTTGCAATATAAACCTTTATATGTTTATGATTTCATTTGTATGATTTTGAATGACAAGAAATGTTCTTGGGCGATGTCAACAGATTCTGGATGGTATTGGGGACAAAGGACTGGAAGTTGTTGCTTCAACTTGTAAAGATTTGCAGGAATTGAGGGTTTTCCCGTCCGATCTCTCCGGGGTTGGTGATGTCGCTGTCACAGAAGAAGGATTGGTTGCTATAACGACGGGCTGCCCGAAACTTCATTCGATATTATACTTCTGCCATCAGATGACAAATGCTGCTCTTGTAACTGTAGCAAAGAACAATCCGAACTTCATACGCTTCAGGCTGTGCATCCTCGACCCCACTAAACCAGACCCTGTAACTGGGAATGCACTCGATGAAGGTTTTGGGGCGATTGTCCAAGCGTGCAAAGGTCTGAGACGTTTATCTCTCTCGGGCCTTCTTACAGATCAGGTCTTCTATTACATAGGGGAATACGCAACGCAACTCGAAATGCTTTCTTTAGCATTTGCTGGGGACAGCGACAAGGGAATGATTCACATAATGAACGGTTGCAAGAAACTTCGCAAGCTCGAGATAATGGACAGCCCGTTCGGGGACATGGCACTTCTGCAGGACATTGGGAAGTATGAAACAATGCGATCCCTTTGGATGTCGTCCTGCAAGATTACTCTTGGTGGCTGCAAGATGCTAGCGAAGAAGATGCCGAGGCTGAACGTGGAGATCATCAATGAGATCGATCAGACGGAATTCTACCGGGGCGATGAGCAGAAGGTAGGGAAAATGTATCTGTACCGATCCTTGGTCGGGCCAAGGAAAGATGCACCCAAGTTTGTGTGGACAGTGTAGGTTTTGGTTACTTCTTTCCTTGAAGGCTTCTGAATGACTTTGGTACTCTTTCTCTTATTCTTTAGGGCTCTACTGACTAGTGGGATTTTTATTTTAGGTAAATGAGTTTTAGTTCGTATTTATGTTATTGTAATTATTGGGAGTTTTTTCAATTTTCAGTTTTTCTCATTTTTACATAATTTATTATAACATAAGCTTATAAGCTCAAGAATCCATGGAAAGTTGAATTATGATTTTATATATAAATACTTGAAACCGTAAAGTTGGAGGAATATCCTTTTCGATTAGGCACTCACCATCTATTTTCATTGTTCAACTCTTTGACAACACGAAAAAACCATTGTTCAACTCTTTGACAACATGAAAAAACCAAAAATAGCTCTGCCCTCCCTCTCTATCTACCCAAGGGATGGAAGGGCAGAGGCCTTTGGTGTCCCCTCCAGTCAAGAATTGGGGCCTTACAATCACTAGCCAATATGCTTTTCTCTCATGCCTTTCTTCGTTCATTGTTCGATATTCTGGTGTTCTAGGCGTAGAGGAACCACACCAATCCATCCCGAACTTGGTGGGAACTTTCCAAAATAAAAATATTTTTGAAATAAATTTGTCGGAGGTGGAACTCTTTATTTATATATATATATATATATATATATATATTTTGTAAGTTTAACTAAATTAATAAAAATGCTTACCTGGTTAAATTTGAAGAAAATAAAAATATTTTTGAAATAAATTTGTCGGATATGAAACTCTTTATATATATATATATATATTTTGCAAGTTTAACTAAATTAATAAAAATGCTTACATGGTTAAATTTGAAGAATATCTTTGAACTTTTGAAAATAAAAATATTTTTGAAATAAATTTGTTTATATATATATATATATATGGTAAGTTTAGCTAAATTAATAAAAATACTCAAAGTTTGAATTTTCGAAAATAAAAATATTTTCGAAATAAATTTGTTGGATGTGAAATTTCTGTTTAAAATATCTCAAAACTTAAAAAAAAAAAAAAAAAAACACTTAATGTTAAGAAGTTCTAAGATTATCTGAGTATTTAAAAATTAAAAAATCAATTTTTTTTTTTTTTTTAATAAATGTTAAGTGTTTTTTAAAAAGTATTTAAAATTTTTTTTAGGGTATATTAATGAAAATTATTTTTGAAACACGAAGTTAAAGATATTTTTTTTTTTAATCCAAAACCATCTATGTAAATTCATTAGGGTCTCTTCTATGATACTCCAACCCCCATGAATTCGTTATTCCTAAACTGAGTCATGAAGGGTATAATCGGCCACACTTTCGTAACTCCAAATACCCGGATTCATAGTAGTCCTCTTGTGATACTCCAACCCTCCACGAATTGATTATTCCTAAACGAGTCATGAAGGGTATAACGAACATATCTTGTCTCCACATTGGATCAAGAACAAGATCAGGGAGATCAAAAATTGCTAATTTGTATAGGACCATTGAACTAGCCCAACTAGCAACTAGAGCGGTATGCATTATATGAACAGAAAACAAACGACATGCATCATTCAATACAAGAGTATGAACACGATACCAAGGCAAAGTCACGAAAATACCCCATTTATCAACGAAGAATAGACACTATACCGAAAAAAGATTCTTTTTTGTTTTTTCTCTTAGTTATCAGGCCGATGTTGGAGCTTCCTCAACATAAAATTAGCATAAAAAATCTCAAAGAAAGTTGAATCTGAATTGACAAAAATTGGGATTCAAGTCTTCTACTTGAGTAAGCCATTATTTATTTAGGTATTGTATGCATACATGTAAATCAGAGCTTTTAGGTATCAAACAACACAGAAAGTGTACACAAACACACAACAACCCTGAAAACTACAGATCTTATTTCAAGCGACTCGAAAACCCGCACTGCTTCATAATCATAGACACGAACGCTGCACGGCCAAGCAAACCGAACAACACCGATTTCGCAACGTCTATCGAAAACAAGCCAAGCACTCCTCCAACATACAACAACAACACAGTGTAGCTAAACTGCAAAACGGAGGAGGAAAATGGCATATAATAAGCTCTGCTAAGAAAATTATCCATAGTTAAATGTTCTTCTTGTTCTTTTTGAAAAAGAAACATTGATTAAACCTTAAAGAACCCAAAAAGGAAGCATCCTCCAAGTTCTACGCAAAATGACAACGAGTAGGAAACCGACAAAACACACTCGAAGGAGAGTGGGTTTCTTCGGCCATATCGTGCACGAGAAAATTTATAAATTATAAATGTATTGAACTTGTTCACTACTTATGTAATAAACCAAAAAACGGTTCTAATAAACCGGGAAAAATTGAAACAAAAAATAGGGACCTTTGACGAACGGAACCAAGACCAAGAATCATTACTTAATAAATGCATACTATGGTTAGATGAAGGAGAGTTAAATCTAACCATATCCCACACCTCGACCTCTCAAACACTCGAAAAATTCTATTGTTTCTCTCGAGCCAAATACCGGACCATAAAAACCAATAAAACAAGTGTTCCAAATGACTCTATCCCAAACTTGAAAGGGTGGATTCAAAAGAACTTAGTTCCTACACCATAGAACAACAATCTCGTTTACGTTCCAAGAAAATCCCGAAAGCGAGAACGAGAACGAGATTGTCAAGTTCTTCCATCCATAACTTAACTAAAAAACCGTCCAATTCCCTCTCAAACACTCGAAAAATTCTACTGTTCCTCTCGAGCCAAATATCGAACCATAAAAACCTATAAAACAAGTGTTCCAAATGACTCATCTCGAACTCGAAAGGGAGGATTCAAAAGAACCTCCTAGTTCCTCCACCATAGAACAAAAATCTCTTTTACGTTCCAAGAAAATCCCGAAAGCAAGAACGAGAACGAGATTGTCAAGTTCTTCCATCCATAACTTAACTACAAAACCGTCCAATTCCCTCTCAAACACTCGAAAAATTCTACTGTTCCTCTCGAGCCAAATACCGAACTATAAAAACCTATAAAACAAGTGTGCCAAATGACTCTATCCCGAACTCGAAAGGGAGGATTCAAAAGAACCTCCTAGTTCCTCCACCATAGAACAACAATCTCGTTTACGTTCCAAGAAAATCCCGAAAGCGAGAACGAGAACGAGATTGTCAAGTTCTTCCATCCATAACTTAACTACAAAACCGTCCAATTCCCTCTCAAACACTCGAAAAATTCTACTGTTCCTCTCGAGCCAAATACCGAACTATAAAAACCTATTCCCTCTCAAACACTCGAAAAATTCTACTGTTCCTCTCGAGCCAAATACCGAACTATAAAAACCTATAAAACAAGTGTGCCAAATGACTCTATCCCGAACTCGAAAGGGAGGATTCAAAAGAACCTCCTAGTTCCTCCACCATAGAACAACAATCTCGTTTACGTTCCAAGAAAATCCCGAAAGCGAGAACGAGAACGAGATTGTCAAGTTCTTCCATCCATAACTTAACTAAAAAACCGTCCAATTCCCTCTCAAACACTCGAAAAATTCTACTGTTCCTCTCGAGCCAAATACCGAACTATAAAAACCTATAAAACAAGTGTGCCAAATGACTCTATCCCGAACTCGAAAGGGAGGATTCAAAAGAACCTCCTAGTTCCTCCACCATAGAACAACAATCTCGTTTACGTTCCAAGAAAATCCCGAAAGCGAGAACGAGAACGAGATTGTCAAGTTCTTCCATCCATAACTTAACTAAAAAACCATCCAATTCATCAATTTACCATTCTCCTTTTCTTCCTAAACAAAGAAAAATGCAGCTTAGTTCATGATAACAAGAACAATAAAGCATTGGTTCAAAATTGCCCCTTCGAACAAATTAGAAATGTTAAATTAAATCAATTGATACTTAAATTGATCTAACAATCATTTGTTAACAAGAAAAAGTTCAAAACTGATCGAATTCCTAAACTAAAAATCCAAATAATTCCACAAACATTCATATCTTCAAATCCAAGCAATTTACACAAAACAGAATCAATCAATCAATTAATCAAGAAAATGATCATCCGCAGAGTAATAACCATACAGAAATTAAAGCAATGGGGGAAAACGTACCATCCACGAAGGAAGGAGGAGCATTCATCTCGATCGTCGTAGTTATAGTGCTGATGATGATAAGGCGGTGGAGGAGGGCCAGGCGGTGGAGGCGGAAGCGGTGCGGATGGTTGATAGCCATCGTAGAAATACTCTTGATAGCCTTGATGCGGCGGCGGAGGATTGCCGGGGTAACCAGGCTGCGGCGGAGGGTATCCTACAAAGAGAAGAAAGAATGAGATGGAATGAAAATGGAAGAAGGGAAATCAGAAGAAGAAGGGATCTCACCGGGAGGAGGGTAGGTTTCAGGCGGAGTATGGTGGTGGCTGTAAGGGTAACTCATAATTTCCTTGGAAATGGAAATGGAGATGGAGGAAATTGAAGAAGAAGAAGAAGAAGAAGAAGAAATTAAGCTTAAATTAATTATAAATAAAAAAGTTCGAATTTATTGAACAATAATTTATTTCATATAAACTTAATTTTTAAAAATTACAATTCCCAATTCTAAATTGAGACTTAATTATTAAGCAATGTTATATATGGGTCAATTTGTTTTGGACTCATTTTATCATTTTTCCCGGTAGATATTGTTATTGTTTGTTTCAAATTTTATTGCATAGCCTCAGTCTCAAGATGTAATCCACCGCTAGTAGATATTGTCTTGGCCCATTACACCTCTTTCATAAGAAAAGATTAGACCCACCGCTGTTTGATATTGTCTTGACCCATTACACCTCTTTCATAAGAGATCAGACCTACCGCTAATAGATATTGTCTTTGACCCATTACAGCTCTTTCATAATCTTTCATAAGAGATCAGACCTACCGCTAATAGATATTGTCTTTGACCCATTACAGCTCTTTCATAAGAAAAGATTAGACCCACCGCTGTTTGATATTGTCTTGACCCATTACACCTCTTTCATAAGAGATCAAGAAAAGATTAGACCCACCGCTGTTTGATATTGTCTTGACCCATTACACCTCTTTCATAAGAGATCAAACCTACCGCTAATAGATATTGTCTTTGACCCATTACAACTCTTTCATAAGAAAAGATTAGACCCACCGTTATTTGATATTGTCTTGACCCATTACACCTCTTTCATAAGAGATCAGACCTACCGCTAATAGATATTGTCTTTGACCCATTACAGCTCTTTCATAAAAAAAGATTAGACCCACCGCTGTTTGATATTGTCTTGACCCATTACACCTCTTTCATAAGAGATCAAACCTACCGCTAATAGATATTGTCTTTGACCCATTACAGCTCTTTCATAAGAAAAGATTAGACCCACCGTTATTTGATATTGTCTTGACCCATTACACCTCTTTCATAAGAGATCAGACCTACCGCTAATAGATATTGTCTTTGACCCATTACAGCTCTTTCATAAGAAAAGATTAGACCCACCGTTATTTGATATTGTCTTGACCCATTACACCTCTTTCATAAGAGATCAGAGCTACCGCTAATAGATATTGTCTTTGACCCATTACAGCTCTTTCATAAGAAAAGATTAGACCCACCGCTATTTGATATTGTCTTGACCCATTACACCTCTTTCATAAGAGATCAGACCTACCGCTAATAGATATTGTCTTTGGCCCATTAGAGCTCTTTCATAAGAAAAGATTAGACCCACCGCTGTTTGATATTGTCTTGACCCATTACACCTCTTTCATAAGAGATCAGAGCTACCGCTAATAGATATTGTCTTTGACCCATTACAGCTCTTTCATAAGAAAAGATTAGACCCACCGCTATTTGATATTGTCTTGACCCATTACACCTCTTTCATAAGAGATCAGACCTACCGCTAATAGATATTGTCTTTGACCCATTACAGCTCTTTCATAAGAAAAGATTAGACCCACCGCTATTTGATATTGTCTTGATCCATTACACCTCTTTCATGAGAGATCAGACCTACTACTAATAGATATTATCTTTGGCCCATTACACCTCTTTCTTAAGAGATCAGACAAATCAGAGTGGAAGACGACAAAATGAAAGGATATTAAAGAAAATTTTGGATATGGAAGGGAAGAAAGGATGGAGGACATTAAATGAAATTGAAGAAGAAGAAGGAAGAAACAAGAAGAAGAAGAAGCGAATAGAAATTTCATTTTTGGATATTTACAAAAAAAAAAACTAAAAAACTCATTATTTTATTTTTAAAATAGCCATAATTTTTTTAAAAATATATTTCAATTTTAAAAATTTTCTTTAATATCCTTAAAATTTTAATTTATTTGTATTTTCTGTTATCTCTTACGGAACAATAATATATTTAATATAAACTTAATTTTTAAAATATACCATTCACAATTTCAAATTAAACCTTAATTATTAAGCAATTTATGGGTCAAATGGTCCACTTTAACCAGTTACATATCATCATTAGTTTTACGATTTGTTATTCATTCAAATTCATTGGTTGTAAATATTGTTTCGATACGTGTCGTCAGCCTCAAAATTTGCTACTCAGACCCATCGATCCCACTCGTAGATATTGTCCACTTTAGCCCGTTATGTATCGTCTTCAACTTCAAAGTTTGCTACTCAGACCCATCGATCTTACTCATAGATATTGTCCACTTTAGCCCATTACATATCACAGTTAATATTTATTCAAACCTCTCGATCATAGATATTGTCCGCTTTAACCCATTACATATCGTCGTCAGCCTCAAAATTTACTACTCAAACCAATCAATCGTAGATATTGTTCGATTTAACCGGTTATGTATCGCCGCATCCGCCTCAAGATTTGCTACTATTTAGTTGGCACTTTTGTAAACCCAAATCATTCGATTCTGCCTCTCCCTCGAGTTTGCTACTATATATATATTTTTCTAAAAATTAAAAAGTTGAAACACCAAACTTGGTTTAAGACCCTGTCAATTTCCTAATCATTTGCGTATGTTGCAAGGAAAAGAACACAAGACAAAGATTCATGGCGAAGAAAAGAAGAAACCAACTCTGAAATACGATGAACAAATCCGCATAACTTAACAAACCAACAAGTCAATTACTGCACCATGTGTTCGGCGACTCTCAGCGCGTGCCTGTGATTAACTCTTCCGTTTCCTCGGGGTCGACTTCATTAGGGGGGTGAACAAAAAACCTATCAGTTAAAAAAGTTCTGTACCTTTGCTAACCCAACAAAGTATGAGGGAAAATCCTCTATTTTAACACAGTTAAAACTACTTTTCGAGCTATCTCCGAATCGTAAATCAACGCTTCTTCTTGCTTCCTTTTGCAGAAGATTTTGATGGGCTGGCCACAAGATAGATAAACAGAATGACAATGGAGTTCACTGAGATCAGGGAACCGTACTTAGCGAGCAGCCTCTGCAGAGGAAAAATAATCTCGTGTGAAAAAAAAGACAGCGATCAAAAGAACAAAAGTCAATGCAGCAAGCACGAACTTTGTGATGGTATGGTATAAAATGAGGTTGACAATCGATACGTAATAGATATTAACAGAAGAATTAAGAGCATGGGAGCACGGAATGGATCATACCTTAACCTGTCGAATTCATGCCCCAGTGTAAGATAAATTCCATGCGAAGGAAAAAGTTTGCATCAGTTAACCGAACGGCTAAGACTATAAATCATTACGCTTGAAGCAGAGCACAAATTTTCGGTTTAAACTTACCCACTCAAACTTATTCTCTGGTAGTTTTTCAGCGAGGACATCCAACGGTAGAATTGGGGTCGATAAGGCTTCCTACAGATATCCAGAAGAACGGTAAAACGTCTGTAGGTTAAGTAACCCGAACACAACCATAACCATTATTGATAGGATACTTAACCTGTAAAGCAGGCTTTGTAGGGACACGGAATGTGACAACAGCAGGTGAACCATGAAACATTCCTTTTGTTTTTGCTTCCAACTCAAAAGAATGTGATAGATGACCACCACTGTCAAACAGCGGATTTGTGTTAGTGGCATGAAAACCCGGTGGAGGGTACGATGGCATATAGGAAAGAATACAAAAAAAATGGTGTTGCTTACGCGTCGAGTCTTTCCCATGATTTCGAAGTTTCGCCACTGATAACATCAAAGACATCTCCTGGCCAGCTTGCATCGTTCAGACTTACATCATACGCGGTCCTGGTAATCATTATAAAAGAGAACAGAGTTAATTGAAAAAACAAAAGAGTTAAGTCTCTCCTTTGCCTTAAAAGTAAGCTCAAGTGAGCATAAGCTTCTCATCATTGGCTCCATTTATGTCAAATAGATACTCGTACCAAGTTGATTTGGACAATTTCTACTTTTCATTTAGTGCTCAACACACACATGGTGAGATCTCACATTGGTTGGGGAAGAGAACGAAGCATTCTTTATAAGGGTTTGGAAACCTCTTCCTAGCAGATGCATTTTAAAAACCTTGAGGAGAAGTCCGAAAGGGAAAGCCCAAAGAGAACAATATTTGCTAGCGGTGGGCTTAGACCGTTACACGCACACACACAACCCTCCTCTCACCCATGGCTACCGTTCAAAACAAATAAATTTACATCAAATTGTAAAATTTCGACAAAGATTCACTCCAAGAGGCCGCGGTTATATATTCGTGTCAAGTGCAAAATGTAGCAGCCCTTATTGAAGCAAGATTTAGGCACAACTCCTGGAATGTGATCACGAATATCATAGTAGATGATCGAATATTCAGACAGACAATGCAGCAATCGTCAAAACAAGCAACTTGGTAAACCCTTTTAAGAAAATTTACATTAAAAAACCAAAATACATTAGTTATTGATGCAGCTAAGCAAGCTATGCCTGGTTGCAGTTCATAATAGCCTTAAGGATCTCGGTATCCAACCACAACTAAAACAACTTATTCCACAATTGATAAAATACGAATGCACCAAATCTCACATCAAGTTGCCCACCCCTTCAAACTTTCAAGTAAAACCAGAGTCTTGTATTCTTCAATCATTGATTACGATTAAATAAAAACAATCACAAAACAACGCACAACCAAATCCAATTCAGATCCAGAACAAAACATAACGGATCAAACGACGCATGCGCAAATACGCTTCGATCTAGATCAAATAGACCGCAGGGTGAGTATAGCTGAATCTAAAAACCAAAAGCGAAATCAAATTAAAGTAATCGAACGGAACATACGAAGATCCTTGATTGTAAATGTCGATGGAGACAGAGACACGTTCGGCGCCAGATTTTAGCCGAGTGAGCGACGCCTTCTTGTGCGCGACAATGAAAGGGACATCGGAGTTTGCAATCGTGGATGAGACTAACAGCAAAGCCAAAAGGACATAGACGAGAGGAGCCGGAGTCGGATTCGCCATGAAATTGTCAAAATTCTGGCCACGGAGATGATCGGCGAAGAAGAGAGGCGTCGACGAAATGGGAGTTTAAGAAGAGCCGCCGAATAAATTAGGTACGCAAAACCGTAGAATGGAGCAATGAGAGATCGTACGATGAATTTTGAGATCCCCACAAAATTTCAAACAGGGATAATCTTGTCATTTCACTCCAAATTAACTTTTTGGAACTATGAAATTATTTGAGTTAATTTGGATTGAAATAAATAAAAATTTCTCTAAAATTAATTAATTTTTTTTTTAAACGAATATTTATTTTATTTTTATTTAACTTAATAATTATCTTATTTATTATTTATTCTCTAGCAAATCTGTATTTACAAAAAAAGAAAAAAAATACAAATTAACATTTTTAGTTTTATTAAAAATAATCTAAATAATTGTTAAATTAACATTAAAAAATACCCTTTAAATTTTTAAAAGTTTTTATTTTTAAAATTTAGGGAGGTATAATTTAAATATATATTATCGGTAATAAATAGGGCAAGAATGTTGAAGTTGGTTGACCAAATGAGCGCGTTACAGCGTACAAAAGCCTTCTCTGCCATTTACCAATTACGGAATTGGCGACCAGTCCGTAGCCACCGGCCACCACACATGTCTGAACTCAAATAGTCCAGTAGTGACCAATTTTCCATAAACGCCCGCTGCCCACAACCTACAATAATCTGTACTTCCGCTGCCACTGCCGTTACCGTCGCGGTTGCAGCTGCCACCACCGATCCCCTTCTCCCACACTTTTCCCGTTCAACTCGCTGTTTTGACCCTGTTGCTATCGTTATACCTTCCAATTTAAGGCATCCTTCGACAATTGACTTAACTCATTTCGTCTTGGAGCGGGAGACTTGTCTTTTTGCTTCTGTGTTTCGTTGTGGTTCTTTCTCATGGCTGCCACCGGGTCTTGTGTCTTCCATGGCGGTGTGTTTTTGGCTCTCCGGCGGGATTGGATGTCGTCCAACGGGAGTTTCAAATCCGGTCCGATTGGGATCCCTAATGCTCGGCGACTTGCTGTGTCTGCTACTTCCATGGACCAAGTTGCTTCGACATCCTCACCGGAGATTACTGCTACCTCATCGGCGATGGAGAGTAATGTGTTTGGTAAAGGCCGGTTTGAGAAGAATCACGAACATGCTGCGACAAAGATTGTAGGAGTTGGCGGTGAAAATGGAAGTCGGTCGAACTTTGGTTGGGAGGATATGGAAGTGCGGAAGAGCTTGAAGGACTATTTTGAACAGTCGGTTGAATTGATTAGATCGGACGGGGGGCCTCCTCGCTGGTTCTCGCCATTGGAGTGTGGTTCTCGGATGGATAATTCTCCTTTGCTTCTGTTCTTGCCTGGTTGGTTTTCTTCTCTTGATTGGATCGTTTGTTAGTTTGTAACTTGTATCAGCTTTTTGTCTGACGGCCAAATCAACAGCTCATCTCATAGAATTACTAGTTTCTTCTTCATGTTCTCTGTTTAACGTCCATGTATTTCCTTTTTCTGGTTCTTCTGGACGTCTTGGATTCGATGCGTGTGTATCTTCTTCTTTCTTTATATCATTGCGTTTGATTATCATGCGATCGCTTTATGATTTGAATCTGCAGGTCTTGATGGAGTTGGACTTGGACTTATCAAGCATCATCAAAAACTGGGGAAGTAAGTATCTCCTTGAGTGCGCAATGATTTCCAATTATTAGTTTCTTATCTTTCAATATGATCAAAACTGGATTCGAATTTCGAAATTGGCGGAAACGTGTAGCAGCAGCTAACTCTTCTATGATTTTTGTTGCTTCATTCAAGGATTTTCGACGTATGGTGCTTGCATATTCCAGTCCGGGATCGAACGCCATTTACAGGTCATTATCAGCTTGCTTACTGAGTAATATGGCATTTGAGTTTCTGCATCGTCCTTAGAAGAAGGATTTTTCTTTAATCTTGACAAAAAGTACAATGATTATCTGAATTTCGTTAATCGAACGCCATTTCAGAAAGTTAGATGAACACGACTCTCCATACTGGTATGATATTGGCCACTTTGAGTATAAGCTTCCATGGCTTTGCTTTGGGCCTCCTACCAATGGAGAGGGTATTCTTTGATCATAAACCCACGATCATTCCCTAAATTAGCGGATGTGGGACTTTCATCATCGAACAGAGAATATCCATCAAAAAGAAATAATCATGATTAGTTTTGGCCTTCGGGTGAGGATGATTCTATTTTTGGTGTCTCAACTTGGTAGATTTAGATTAAGAAATCTGTATTGGTTATACTGAGTTGTCTGCTATCATGAAAAAGTAAGACTGAGTGTTCAATTTCTTGAAGTCTCTGAATTATATAACTCAATGCAGAATTACTGAAATTGGTCGAAAAAACGGTAAAAGATGAGCACCGTCGTTCCCCAAAGAAACCGATTTATCTTGCTGGAGAATCCTTGGGAGCATGCCTTGCTCTATCTGTTGCTGCTTGCAATCCACATATCGATATTGTATTGATTTTGTCTAATCCAGGTAAGCTCAATGAACTATTTGATGAGTCTTTTTGCCTCTATGGTTGCACGAAACCAAGCTCCTGCCTGTTATGGCGTGGCTGAGGTTGAACTTTGATCTTATTACTAAAAAATACAAGATGATTACTAAATTGAACGCCTGAAGACCAAAAATCGTCGCGGTTCTTAAAGTAGACTGCAGAACATTTTGTAATTTTGTGATGTGATGCTTGTGAAGGGATGAGTTTACCGGGAAAATCAAGATGCTAGCAATTTATTGAGGGTTAAATTTTGTAACGACTTAAATCCACTGCTAGCAGATAATGTTCTGCTTGGGCTTTCCCTTTCAGGCTTTTCCTCAAGGCTTTAAAACGCTCCACACCCTTATAAAGGGTACTCTGTTCTCTTCCACAACCAACGTGGGACATCACAAATTTGATCTTAAGAATTCTGTGTTTGGTGGAGTTTGATACATGATACAAATATACGTATTTATTCAATATGTTATTCTTTCTGACTTCAATTAACGTTTTGTGTATCATATGGATTCAATCTCTTCGCTCTACTGAATAATGGTTTTTTTATTTTCCCTGGCAGCTACTTGTTTCAGTAAGTCGCCATTACAACCTGTAGTATCCTTGTTAGAACTCATGCCAGAATCATTGCAAGTTAGCCTCCCTTACATACTGAATTTACTGAAAGGTTTTTTTTCCTTGTTATTCAAGTTTTATTTTATGTACTTATTGGTTGAAATACATACTTCATTTGCACTTGGTAAGTTGATTTTTTTTTTCTTTTTCACGACAGTATTTCCAGATTCGTAATAGAATGATCTTCAATTGGGAGTTTGGTATTCTTCTAGCATGACAGACATAGGCAATGAATTACTTGAGCCTTGTTGAGGGCATTCTTAAACTTTTGAATGCTCTTTAGCTGTTAGGTGAATTTTTGTAATCCTAAAGCATCTCTAGATGTTTGGTCCCATCTCATCATTTTCCAGATCCCACATTGGTTGGAGAGGGGAATGAAACATCCTTATTAGGGTGTGGAAACCTCTCTCTAGTAGACGTGTATTAAAAGTCTGAGGCTAACGGCAATACGTAACGGACCGGACAATATCTGCTAGCGGTTGGCTTGGGATATTACAAATGGTATCAGAGTCAGAACCAGGCGATGTGCCAGCGAGAACACTAACCCTTAAGGGGGTGGATTGTGAGATCCCACATTGGTTGGAACAAAACATCCCTGGTTAGGGTGGAGTGGACTGTGAGATCCCACGTTAGTTAGAGAGGGGAACAAAGCATCCCTTATCAGGGTGTAGAAACCTCTCCCTAGTAGACGTGTTTTAAAATTGTGAGGCTGATGGCGATAGTAACAGGTCAAAGCGGACAATATTTACTAACGGTGGGCTTGTGTGGGCTTGGGCGGTTACAAGTACTGAAGTTCATGGAGGTGTTCTTTTGCCAATATTTAGTTCCAGTCTACCGTAGTTGTCTATCCAAGCCTTTTGTCACCGGATGTTATTGTTACTATTTGCACTCTGCATAGCCTTTCCAATCGGTGGGAGAATTCATTCTACATCACTAGGTGTGAAGACACAAGAAGCATGTTTTCTTGTAAATTCAACAGTATGCCTTTAAAATCCTAAACTGCTGCTATTCATTCAAATGGATGGGCAAGTTGCTTCGTACTTGATTGAAAATTGTACTTCGAAATATACTTTTTACGTTATCGATATCAAAAGTTTGATGTTGAAGAATGAACTGAAAATATTGAACTTAATATGATATTAAATTGGAAGATTCAAGTTCTAATCCTAGAATGTAGCTTTTGGACATAGAGGGGATTATGCTCCAGAGGACCATGTTTAATTATTGGTACTTCATGATGATTTTTAACTTTATACAATAATTGACAGCAATATATTTTTTAGGTGATACATCTAGACGGCCATTGGAAATTGTGGAACTCATATTGCAACAAATAATTAGCGAATTATCGCAGGATCTTGGTGCATTATCTTCTCACCTCTCTGTAAGACGAGTTCTCTGATCTCTGTGTGCCCAAAACCGAATATGATAATAGATTGTTTCTCAACATAATATCTCCTTAGATTCTTATGAAGATATTGCTTTGTAATTGGATTTTCTCAACAATGATGCGCACGTTAAATTTTCATATCCTGTGCTGATCTTTTGAGATCTAATTAATGATTGAGATTACAGGTTCTTGCTGATATTTTACCAGTAGAAACACTCATCTGGAAGTTGAAAATGCTTAAATCTGCTTCAGCAGATTCCAACTCACGGCTCCATGCCGTAAAAGCTCAGACTTTGATACTCTGCAGGTCTATATCTCAAGTCAAATCCTTTATGTTAACAATAATGAAGGGGATTTTGCTCTGTTTGTTGTCTAGCTTCTGTGCACCCTCCCTTAGTACTTTAGTACTTATAAACGGATGATCATCCCCTTAATTAGCTGATGTGGGACTCCCCACCAACAATCCTCCCCTCAAACAAAGTATACCATAGAACCTCCCCTGAGGCCTATGGAGCTCCTCTTAATCGAGGCTTGATTCCTTTTCTGGAGCCCTCGAGCAAAGTACACAATTTGTTCAATACTTGAGTCACTTTTGACTATACCTTCGAGGCTCACAACTTCTTTGTTCGACACTTGAGGATTCTATTGACCGAGTTAAGTTAAGGGCATAACTCTGATACCATGTTAGGAATCACAACTCTCCACAATAATATGATATTGTCTACTTTGAGCATAAGCTCTTATGGTTTTGCTTTTGGTTTCTCCAAAATGCCTCATACCAATGGAGATGTATTATTTACATATAAACCCATGATCATCCCCTTAATTAGCCGATGTGGGACTCCCCACCAACAATCATCAACACACTAAGCCAACCGACCCTCGTAATAACATATTTGTGTTCTTTATTATGGTTGGCTTTAATATTAGTATAATCCAGGCTTTCTTAGCCTCTGAACAACCTAGTGGAAACATGGTCATAATATATCTTGTTTATGATCCTGAATTATTGTGTCTTTACAGTGGCAGAGACCTGTTGCTACCCAGTATTGAGGAAGGTAGAAGACTTAGTCAGTTTTTGCCAAAATGTGAGATTCGAAGATTTTCCGACAATGGCCATTTTCTTTTCTTGGTAGGAGACCATTTTCCTCGGGAAGAAATGTTTAACTTTCTCAGCTTTAGATTCTTTTTTCTATTTTTTCTTCCTACTGACTACAAAAGCAATCCAAGCCTATAACTATCTACCCAAACAAAGGTGCTTATAAATAAAAATAGTTAAGGAGAAAAGAAACTGTATCTGTTTCATGTAGGTGGAGGAAATAGATAAAAGAAAGCAACTTTCTTTCTATTTTTCTTCTTCCTAACGCAGCTGGTTCCATTTCATTCAGGTTGTTATAAACTTTATTTTGCAAATAGCAAGTGAAATGAAGGGAATTTACTGAAATTAATAAAGAAATAACATAATTCTGCTAATGAAATGCATGGCAGGAGAATGGTGTTGATTTGGCTGCTACAATCAGAGGTGCTAGTTTCTACCGCCGTTCACAAAAGCTGGACTTTGTTTCTGATTTCATCCCACCATCGCCTGCTGAATTCACAAAAATATTTAAGGACTATAGGTAATTACACTTTGACACAAATTTGTACAAATATTTTTCTCTTTGTTAATGACGAGAAAGCCAGTCAATTCATATATTTACCATATATGTGAAGGTATTGGGACTTCAAATTTGTTGATTTTGAGAATTTTAAAGAAGAATTTATGATGTTCCACAATTTTAGGACCACCCATTTATAAACATGTTATGCTTTTTCTAGATTGATTGATTTGGTAACTAGTCCGGTGCTGTTTTCAACTCTAGAAGATGGGAAAATTGTGAGGGGACTCGCAGGTATTCCTGAAGAAGGTCCGGTCCTGTTCGTTGGCTATCATATGCTATTGGGACTAGAATTGGCTCCCATGGTAGGCCAGTTTTTCAAAGAAAAGAACATAATTTTACGAGGGATGGCACATCCTATGATGTTTGTAAAAGTGAAGGAAGGAAGTTTACCTGAATTAGCATCATATGACTCATTTAGAATGATGGGTGCTGTTCCTGTCACTGCCCAGAACTTATATAAACTTCTTTCTTCGAAGGCTCACGTCTTATTATATCCCGGAGGCGTGCGTGAGGCTCTACATCGGAAGGTAAGTTAAGACTGATGAATTGAAGGAACTAATTCTTTCCCTCAAGTCACATCACCAGCGTTAAATTTTGGTTCGATTTTCTTCTGTTTAGTTGCCAGGAACTTAATTCTCATAATGAGTTCGTTCAACTCAAGCCATTCAGTTTATTTATAAATATCAGGGAAAATGATTTTACATGTAGTTCCACCTGAAATTATTTCTTGGGTCATTTTGTTACATAGAATAGCTCCACTTATAAACTTGTGCAAATTCTTTCTTCCATCATAACAACATGATTTAACATATCGTATGGGAGCTAAAGACTTCTGTTATTTGACTCTCTTTCTTTACAGGGTGAAGAATATAGGCTATTCTGGCCTGAGCAATCAGAGTTTATCCGGATGGCTGCTCGGTTTGGAGCCAAAATTGTACCTTTTGGTGTTGTGGGAGAAGATGATTTTGGTGAAGTAAGTTTCCCCTCCCCCTGACCCACCATTTTCATTAATATCTTTCGCTTTCTTTCACTTTTTCTTGCCTCTAGGTCCAGAGTAGTTGATAACTTCAAGTGTTTGGTCATCTGGCATTTTTTTTTCTCTCTCCCTCTCTCTCTCTCTTCATCATCAAACCTATGTTGAGGATGGATGAGAGGGAGTCTCATGTAAATGGGTGGATCATAAGTTGATAAGTAAGAAATACATCTCTATTGGTATAAGGCATTTTTGGGAAACTAAAAGCAAAACCATGAGAGCTTATGCTCAAAGTGGACAATATCATACCATTGTGGGAGTTCGTGGTTTCTAACATGGTATCAGAGTCATTCCCTAAATTTAGTGCGATGTCCCACATTGGTTGGGGAGGAGAACAAACGACCATTTATAAGGGTGTGGAAACCTTCCCGTAGCCGACGCGTTTTAAAGCCTTGAGCGGAAGCTCGAAAGGAAAAGCCCAAAGAGGACAATATTTGCTAGCAGTAAATCTGGGCCGTTACAAATTGTATCAGAGCCAGACACTGGACGATGTGTCAGCCTTCTCGTTGTTCCCGAAGGGGGTAGACACGAGGCGGTGTGTGAGCAAGGACGCTGGGCCCCAAAGGGGATGAATTTGGGAGCGGTCCCACATCGATTGGAGGAAGAAAAGAGTGCCAGCGAGGACGCTTGGGCCCCGAAGGGGGGTGGATTGTGATGTCCCACATTGGTTGGGGAGGAGAACAAACCACCATTTATAAGCGTGTGGAAACCTTCCCCTAGCAGATGCGTTTTAAAGTCTTGAGGGGAAGCCCGAAAGGAAAAGTTCAAAGAGGACAATATCTGCTAGCGGTGGATCTGGGTCGTTACATTTAGTCATATCAATAGAATCCTCAAATGTCGAACAAAGAAGTTGTGAGCCTCGAAAGTGTAGTCAAATGTGACTCAAGTGTTGAACAAAGAGTGTAATTTGTTCGAGTGCTTCTTTCAGAGAAAGGAGTCGAGTCTCGATCAAGGAAGACTGTTTAAGGGCTACATAGGCCTCAGGGGAGACTCTATGGTGTACTTCATTCAGGGGAGGACTGTTGAGGATTATTGGGAGGGAGTCCCACTTTGACTAACTAGGGGATTGATCATGGGTTGATAGGTAAGAAATACACCTCTATTGGTATGAGGCCTTTTGGGGAAACCAAAAGCAAAGCCATGAAAATATAGGTCCACAGTGAACAATATCATACCATTATGGAGAGTCATGATTCTTAACAACCTATTCGTTCAAAACATTATCTCTGGCTCAATTCCGATCTCTCCTGAAAAACTAATTCCTTTTGTTATCAGGTGGTTTTTGATTATGAAGACCTGATCAAAATTCCGTACTTCAAAAACCAAATAGAGGCTCTAACCAGCGAAGCCGTGAGACTGAGGTTCTTTCCATTCTCGTCGTTAACGTCATCTATTCGTAAACGCAATATCACTTTCGTTTTCAGGATATTTTTCTAAATGGTCTCGATTATAACAGGGCTGACATGAAAGGGGAGGTAGCAAACCAAGCTGTCCACCTTCCTGGAATTCTCCCCAAACTTCCAGGAAGATTTTATTATTACTTCGGAAAGCCATTTGACACCGAAGGTACGTTTACTCGAAGAACATCGTACTCGTTTTGATGTTGTTCTTGTCAAACTTGTGATACATATACTTCCAATTGTTATGCATATAAAGGTCAGAAAGAGGAACTACGAGACAGAGAGAAGGCTCATGAGCTATATCTTCAAGTAAAGGGCGAAGTGGAGAACTGCCTTGCATACCTACAGAGCAAAAGAGAGAGCGATCCTTACAGACGGCTATGGGATCGTCTAGCTTATCAAGCTAAGCATGGCTTCACATCTGAGGTTCCCACGTTCGAAATCTGAGCCAACAAGAACTGTCTGAGATTTAGTAGTTAAGAGAGTGGTGGTCAATTCTTCGCTTCTTTTCAGGTAAAAACTATAAACCCATCTCTGTTCTTGTTAGGAATTTAAATATAATGCCATTTTGTGGATGTAAATTCTATTCATTTGCTGAGAAGAACTAGCCTTTGATGTGGGAGACCTTGTATTCATGATTGTTCTTGTGCTTGCATTGCAAAATAATCAGATAAAGAATAAATCTGTTTTTTTTTTTTTTTTGGTGCTTTTTTTAAAATAAAATTGATATGTTTGGATTTGCACGGTAACCGTTCGTTTACCTTGTCTTCCTAACACCGTCTTGAAGATCTTTAGAAATTTTATAACATAGGAAAACCACAGAAAATGAATCTACTAAGGAAGGTTACCGATTCGGTCAAGAGGAAGAAACTTATAATATCGTAGCTTCTCGTGGTTATTTTGGCTGATTCATCTTCCAATATGCTAGTTTCAACAATTCTCTTTCTTTACACTTCTTCCTAGTTGCTTGGCTTGTAGTGTTCCGTTGTCTTCCTAACACCTTGAAGATCTTTAGAAATTTTATAGATACTTGTTTATTAGTTGTCAGCCACGTTAGCATCATTTAAGAATGCTATAGTGTCCAACAACATAAAAACATGATTTTTTTTGGTGAAAACTCATAATAGACACGGGAATGATATAAAAAATTTATAAGTAAAGTTGAGTGTTGTTGTAGACTTTCGATCTATAGTATTACTCTCTTTTTTATTTCGCTGTCGACTTCCAAATTTTCTTGATAGATGTATGTGTTACATGAATTTGAAAGTATGAATTATACCGAAAAACATAAACTATGCTAATGGGTTGAGATTAGTTTGAATTTATCATCTCAAGAGGAATTGTTGTCGTAACCGTCAAACCATGCTTCATGTTGATCGATAAATACCCATTTCAAGTTACTTGTTTAAACGTCGTGACCATTTCATCAAAATTATGTTTCATTGTTTTGAATATTATGATAAAATCTTTGAATCCAGGTTTGGAATCTTTGTTAACATGTTTTCATCCATATCTAACCTATAGAGCTTCAACTCATAGCTGAACATAGTACAAAGTCACACCACTTGATTGACAAGATTTCTTTAGTTCATTTGGGCTTTCCCCATAATTTCCATTTCTCTCTTAATTAAATTTCAAATTTCAAAAATAAATATATATATATATATATATATATTAACTCAAATTGAGATATTAACTCTAATTTTTTTTCTAGAAAAATTGAATTTGTTGATCGAGAATATATGTCTTAATTAATTAAAATATTTTTATACTGAGAATCAATATTTGGAATTTTGCATATAAAATAAATGTGTTAAAAGTATTTATTTATGCAATTCAATAAAGTTTTGGAAAAAAATAATTGAAAAATAAATTAAAAGTATATAAAAAGAAATTTGAATATGGTTAAAATATAGCATTTGATTCCATGGGGAGATTTTTGTAAATATATGATTTCTCATATACAATTTGGCCCTAAACAGTTTCTCAATCTCTATGAGCTAAACAAAAACCGCCACGTGGCCACCGTGGAATTCCAAAACCGCCGCAACAAAAATAAAGTCGCCGGAGAATCCTATTTCAGAGATTTATTCATAAGCGAAGAGTGAGATCGATGGTTACGTGTTCAACGGCAGCATCAGCATTCGGTGAGAGATCGTTCGGCGAGGCGGAGGCAGAGGCTGTAGTGGTAGTACCTCGGTAGTGATTGTTCTGATGGAACCAATGCTCGTCAAAAAGCGCCGACGGAGCCAGTGCTGTAGCAGACGGCGATGCAAGATGGTGGTAAGTAGTCGGCGGCGGCGGCGGTGGCCTCGAGTGTTGAAGCGAACCGAGGTGAAGAATTTCAGAGGTGAAGACCTTACGCGAAGCTGCTCTTTCTCTTTTGTGAGCATTTTGGTGGCCGCCTAGGGCTTGGGAAGTGTAGAATTTTCGAGGACAGTAAAGGCATGGAAAAATGCGTGAGGAAGAGTATTGAGACTGAGATTTTCTGGAGGTCGTTTTCGGTACAGAATTAGAAGCAGTCGTTTGGCTAAGGAAGTCATAAATGGCAGGGTCCGCCATTGATGAAGAGCTTGAAAACTCAGAGAAACGAAGAAGAAGAAGAAGAAGAAGAAGAATGAACAAAAAGAAGGATAAAAACGGAATATATAATAAGCTAAGAGATCAAAAGAGAGATTTAAATATATAAAAAACGGAGTGATTAGAGGAATAACATTATCAATGATTTGTTAATTTTAATTGGACAATTTTGCCCTCCCAAACTAAAAAAAAATTCAAAAAATCATACTATTATGGAGAGTCGTGTTCGCCTAACATAGTATCAGAGTCATGTCTTAAACTTAGTCATGCCAATAGATTGGTAAATCCTCAAATGTCGAACAAAGGACTCCAAAAGAAAAAAGAGTCGAGCCTCCTCGAAGGCAGTAAAAAATGACTAAGACTCCTTGACTCCAAAGGAGTCTAGCCTCGATTAAGGGGAGGCGTACTTTGTTCGAGGGGAGGTGTTGGATAATGGAAGTCCATCGGCTAATTTAAGGAATTATCTTCACATGAACGATTTAAATCAAATTATTTGTAGCAAATTACAAAATATTTTATATTCTCAGTGTTACTGAGATAAGACAGACATATACTATTTTTATGTAACAATTAATTTATTTTATAACGAGAAAACAAGCACGATTGGATCATCAAACGAAAACCTAAATAATTACGAAACTAACCCTAAGTATTAGGGTTACTAAGCCTATCCACTTAGGGGTAAAGGCTATATTTGGTTGATGTAGTAGTAGTTTAAGATAGAAGGGCAAAAATGGAAAAAATGAGAAGAATATTTTGTTGAGGATTTGGATGAAGGACAGAAAGCGGTAGCACTAACAATCCCCTGCCTTGCAGGGGGAGTTATGTCCGACATCCACGAACCAATTTTTCTTTTTTAAACAATAAAAATAATTAATATATTAATAAAAAAAATTGTCATGTTTAATTTTATTAAATTAAATAAAGATATTTATATGATTTAATAATGGACGACCCAAGCCCACCGCTATCGGATATTATCCTTTTTGGGTTTTCCCTATCCTGCTTTTCCCTCAAGGCTTTAAAATCAGTCTTCTACCGGAAAGTTTTCACACTCTTATAAATGGGGGTGGTTTGTTCTCCTCCCAACCACATATTATCTTATAGGGGAAAGTTTTCACACCTCACCCCCTTATAAATGGTGGGATATTGTCCTTTTTGGGCTTGCCCGAGGATATTGTCCTTTTTGGGTTTTCCTTTCAAGTTTTTCCCCTCAAGGCTTTAAAACCCGTCTTCTAGGGGAAAGTTTTCACACCCTTATAAAATGGTGGTTTGTTCTCCTCCCAACCACGACCCTTATAAATGATGATTTGTTCTTCCCACCCTTATAAATGATGGTTTATTCTTCCCACCCTTATAAATGATGGTTTGTTCTCCTCCCAAAAGTTTTCACACCCTTATAAATGGTGGTTTGTTCTCCTCCCAACCAACATGGGACATCACAATCCACCCCACAATCCACTCCCCTTCGGGGCCCAGCATCCTCGCTGGCACTCTTTTCTTCCTTCAATCGATGTGGGACCGCCCCCAAATTCTCAATGCTTTAAAACCCATCTAGGAGAAGGTTTCTACACCCTCAAAAATGATGATTTGTTCTCATCTCCCAACCAATGTGAGACATCACACCAACCAACTTCGACTCGGTAACCAAAAGAAAATTTTATACTAATTTTTTTTATTAGATTAACTCAATCAACCCCAAAATATAAATATTAAGAATATTTAATGATGTTAATAGTTTAGACGTATAAATGAAATTTTCTTAAATAATTATATAAAAAAATCCAACCCAATATGTTATCAATAACTAAATAATTAAATTTATCAATTTTTCTAAAAAAAAAATGCTATAGATATGTGATATTTAAATAATATATTTATTATTTTGGAATTAGGGTTTAAATGTGTGATGTGGCGGGCAGCAGATTTGAGTTGCGGTCAGTGAGCAGAAGTACTGCCCGCAGAATACGGCGGCTGTGTAAGTGGTGGTTTATTAAAAGCGCTTTTGGGGTTTGAATTTATTTATTATTATTTATTTATTTTGATAGAAAAACAAAATATAGCTTTCCGTTTTGTGGTAAAAGGGAATATACAATGAAACGTCATGTCGACTTGACCATTAATGTATAAGCACATGCAACTCTCTTACGTAATCTCTATACTTTTTATTTGTTATTATACCTTTTGATTTGATTGCATTTATTTATATACATATAATTTTAGTATCGGGACACATCCTTTTAATCTATTATAGAGGCTCGTATTGCTTACGTAATCTCACGTCTTTAACGAAGCAGGAAATAGGGGGACGAGCGAAGAGAAATTTCTTTCTATTAGGTAAACTACCACTCAAAAGTGTGAATAGATATGAAAATATAATTACTCAATCTTCATTCATATTCACAACCTTTAAATAGGATACAAGATATTAAATAATATCTACAAAAAAAAATATATAAACTAACTAAATTTGATAATAAAATAAAATATACTATTATTCAAATTTAACTGATTACGAATATCGAAAATATATTTACTAACTAATATATTATTCAAGATATTAAATAATTACGAATATCATATATTTCATAACTAATTCAAACTCGAAATAAGTTGCACTAAATTCTGACAAACGGAGCCAAAGATGAAGATTATATATTCATATTCATTGTCTCCGTCCCTTAATCCCCGACCCTTGTGCCCCGTCCCCCACCCCACTTGATATGTATATACCTAATCTTCGACCCCACTTAGTAAATAAATAAATATATATACATATATATTTATTACTAATATGAAATTTCTTATATTTTCTTTTAATAAATTGAGTCTACTCAATAAAAAAAAATTAAATTAAAATTAATTAA